CTAAATATGATTTTTTTTGTAAAATCAGATTAATAACTATTTTATTTCAGTATTTTTACTTATTTAATTTTCTAGACATGAAATAAAATAAAAATAATTTCTCCCGTTAAAGATTACAACTATACTAACATGTACGTTTCAATTACGCAAACATCAAGTTTATAACAACATTTTTTAAAAGTTACGTTATTTGAACTTTTGTGGTATATTGGGTACTAACAAAGATTTTGCATCGGCTTATAAATAAATTATTACAATAATAAAAATTGCAAATCTATAAAAGATATATATCACCGGCGCTATATACTATATGTACTTCTAAATATTATAAAATAGTATATGATATTTAGTATATTGTACAAATTTAGTATACTTTATACTATATACTTCTACATTATTATACTATTTGCTACTAAACTTAGCGAAAGCATTGAAAGTAAGTCCTTTTTTATAAATACTTGTAAATCTAATTGTAGCGTTAGATGGTTATAAAATGCTTCATCTTACTATAATATATTTAAATATAACATTTTTCTCTTAATTTAATAATTTTTCACTAATACATCTTGTGGTCAATGTACGTTTATTAACTTTTTTTTAACCAACGTAAAAATTGTGTATATGATGCCCCCTCTCTATTACTCGCCATGTTTATGATATTTATTATTTAAATAATAAAATCTTATCACATTGGCAAATTGTTTCATTCTATATATTTTTGTTAGTTGATGTGAACTAATTGCTTTTATTACTGCTTTTAATTTCAACATTTCTGGTAATAGACACATGCGTTACCGAAGTTTCGATAGACTTGCCATCATCGGAAGGAAGAAGAACAAATGGAACCAATTAGGATAAAAAAATAATTGAACTCTAGAGCCTCCCGCCACGAAGTAATGTCTGACGGCGGTTTCCGACAAGAAGCAAAAGACAGGCGGAGGATTTAGTTGGTAGTATTTATATTACTAAGGTGATCATACGCCCCGGTTTGGTCGGGACAATCCCGGAATTCCACCTTGTGTCCCGGATTTTACTAAAAGCAATATATGTCCCGGATTTAGGTCTTTTGTTCCGGATTGGCTCGGTTTTTTGAAATCTAATAGGAATATTAACTAAAAAATCAAAAAAATATTAATAAAAAATTATGAAAATAAACGAAAACGCGGTGGTTAATTATGAAGAAAATTGAATAGAATTTTATACAAGGCTCGCTCATAAGCGAGAAAACCAGAGATAAAACATAAATAACAAAGTATTACATATAAATGAATAATAAAGTTCTTACAGATAGACCGCAATTCAGATTAACAAAGAATGATTCATATAAAAAACTGATTTTTTAGTGTATTTTTAAGTTGCATTTGTTATTTTAAAGACAAACACCCTCCCTCCGTGTTAAGGATTAGCATAACTAAAAATCAACGTCCGGTTTTTTGACTTAAAAAAATATGGTCACCTAGACAAAAGACCTAGTCTGGTATGCGTAAATACATTTATTAACTTCCCGTAGGGTAAGTTATTGTAATGGACCAAAAATCGAAATTGAAATTTTTGACATTTCTCGACGTTTTGAAGGTTTCTGAACATTTTGGCATACCTCAGAAAAAATGGATGTGTGTGTGTGTGTATGTATGTATGGATACAATTTTTCAGTCACGTTTTCGGGCGCACGGATCAACCGATTTGAATGGTTCAAAAAACATTGATATGGAGATGTACTGATTAGTTTTTGGCAAAGGCAGATCCAGCAGTTACGGAGATAAAGAGCAAAGAGCGCAGATAGAAATCGAGTTTTTGAGAGAACGGAGCATCCGATTTGAATGATCTAAAAAGCATTCAATTAGTAATGATTGGGAGAAGTGATTACTAGTTTTTGGCAAATGCAGGCCCAGCCATTTCAAAGATACGGAGCGGATAAATGTGCAAAAAATAGCAGTTTTTGAGAGAACTAAGCGTCCGATTTAAATGATTCAAAGAACTTTCTGCTTGTCTTAACAAAATAATTACTTCTGGAAAAAAACATTTTTGTTCCAACTTTTTTTTTCAATTTTTTTTTCCAAAAAAAAATTTTGTATATCGAAAATAATTCAGATTTTATTTTTAATTCTGACTATAGTTCTAATATACTTTAAACAAATAATTTCAACTTTGCAATTCAGTTTATATCTTATAAATATTAAACAATGTTACAATATTAATAATAATCTATTTGAAAACATTCAATATTCCTCGAACATTTCGTTACGGTACGGTAAGTTCCAGCAATTTGCCTTAAGGCACGGTGCCATATACTCTACTAGTTTTGCTATGCAAAAAACACTAAAGTGTCCGAGAGCTGTGCAAAACAGGCTGACCTCCTTCAGGGCCCCTACTCTGTATCATGAGGACCCATACTACGGGGTTGAAACGGAGTAGCCTGGGTCTATCGGTTCTTCAGGCGTCAATATCTATTATCGTCATAGTATTTTAAATTCGCGATGGAGCAGTTTGTTTTCGTCGGAAAATCCGATTTGTTAATTCTATGTTTTTTATGTTTCAAGACTTTCTGACCTGTTTAAGACTAAATTTGGAACTGTAATACCCCGCTTAACGCTGTTTCGTTTAGCGCCACTTCAGTTTAGTGCTCTTTTATTTTAACCCAGAAATTCCAACATTTGTTGACTATATTATAAGTAGGTATTAATTTACATATTTAATATTATATTACGGTGTCAAGTATATTATATTATTTAGTAAATTTGATCTTTAGTTTTTACTATGGGCGATAATAAAAAAGAAAAGAAAGCAACTAGAGAAAGCATTTCACTCAAAACTAAAATGAAAATGATGGAAAATTAGATTCTGGTGAACGTCAAACTCTAATTAGTACTTCTTTTGAAAGAAAAAATACTGTCATCGGCAACTCTGCAACTAGAATTATCTGTTTCAGAAATAATGTGATAGAGAAAATGTAAAAACAGCTGACAATTTTGAAAATTCAAAAATTATTTGAAGAATATATGTTGAAAATCGTGCTTAATTTTCGGTCGAACCGTTTCTTTGTAATTAATGTTGATAATGTTTTTTTGACGATTTTGATGATATTTTAAAAAAATTCAATAAGGTTTGTAACTAGTGGTGCATGACATTGTGCTTTAAGGCAAATTGCTGGAACTCTCCGTACCATAATTTAACATTCAAGTAATAAAAATAAATAGTATTCAATAAAAATTGATTAATGGTTAATACCAATTGTTTAAAAATATTTTTAAGCAATTATTATAAGTTCTGTAAATTTTATTGAATTTTACAGATCTAAGATAATATGCGTGGGCGACGACCTTTATCTATGTTTACAAGAGCGAAAACATAATAAACAAAGGTTAATCAGAATGCAACATACCTGGAATGTTGCTGAGAACCTTATCACATATTATTCATTTTGTTTGCATAAACATCTAGGAACTGAATCACTAAGTTGAAAAAATATTTAATTCAACTATATAAGAGAATATTACAATTTTAAAATTTTTAGAAAATCCTTGTATATTTTTCAAAATTTTGGTAATACTCATTTTTGATATATTTTGATAAATGATTTTTTTTATTCAAATTGCTATCTTTTTCGAATCTCCGAAACGGTTGGATCTGCTATTGCCAAAAACTAATCAGCACGTCTCTTCTTCAATACGAAAAGAATGTTTAGTAAATCATTCAAATCGGTTGATTTGTGCTTCCAAAATCGTGGATAAAAAATTGTATCCGAACAATCATACACATACACACACTATGGTATGCCAAAGAAGTTGTGTTCGGTAATATATAGAAAAATGTTTATTTTCGATTATTTGCGATTACTATAACTTATCCTGCGGGAAGTTAATAATGGTTAATATTCTGCGCTTTTGTAAAATGTACCGTGTATGTATTTTAGAGACCAAATTTGGAAAAAGTATGTATGTATGTGTGTGTGTATGTGAACAGATTTTTTTGCCGTAAATCGCCGTTTTCTCAAAAACGGCTGAACCGATTGCAAGAATTTAAAAGCCACTCGATGTATCTCGATGGGGACTAGCGTGTATCAATTTTACGCGACGATCAGCCAAGCCGTTTCTTTGTAAATAGCATAAAAGTGAAAAAAAATTGTCTACGTTTTAGCCCGCAATTCTGAATCGATTTTAACAATTCGAAAGATATTGGTGGGGAATCGTGCTGCATAGTTTCTAATAAAGATCAGCCATAGTCTTCTAGATCATACTAAAATATTACGGCCTTACGACAAGTTGCAAAAATTAGTATTGTTTTTTTTGGCATTTGTCAAAATTAGATCTCTCATCGAGTTTGCTCAACAACTCTTGAACCGATTTAATGTATCTCAATGAAGATTAACGTTTGTCAGTTTTGTGCGAGGAACTGCCAAGCCCTTTCTTTGTAATTTGGAAAAAAATGTTAAACATTTCGTTCACATTTAAGCTCATTCTACCGAATCGATTTTAAAAATCAAAAACTCTTCGAAAGATATTGGTTGGGAATGATACTGATTAGTTTTAGGTAAAAATCTACCGAGCCGCTTTCTTGTAATTAACTGTTGAAAAAAAAACTTAAGACATATATCTTGGTCTTATAGAACTTACTGAAATATTACGGCCTTTTGCGACAAGTAGTTTAATTTTAAAAATTCATCAAAGTTTGAGAAAATGGGTAGTTTTTTTGACGTTTGTTAAAATTGAAATTAGACGATTTACTTGATATAACGATAGAGTGCTTGGTCTTAATCAACATACTAAACCATTATTTAGTTAAATATAAATTACCCTACGGGAAGTTAATTATTGAATTTTTATAGATTAGGTCACAAATTTACGAATATCAGAATGCTCATGCAATTTTCCTTACAAAAAAATGCCACTTACACCTAGTTAATTTTTTTTTTTAATAAACCCCATTTTTAAATTTCCCGGTATTTCCAGATTATCCTTTCTTCATATTCTTTCAAAGAGTTGCCATACGCGAAAGATAGCGTCAGTTTGTATTTTGATTACAAAAAAATGTATTATTAAATATTTTATTATTTTTTGTTAAATACTATTTATTCCTTGTGTCGATGGTGATAATTATGAATTCAAACCGTAAGTTTAAAAAAAAATCTAGTTTATAAAAATATATTTTTCTAAACTTCGTCACAAAAATTCGTCAGTATAGGTTAGGTATGCGTTTGACAAGCTAGCACGATTGTTGTTTTCAAGTTTCATAAAATAAAACATGTGAATTCCGCAAAAAATGTTTAAACAAACTTCTGTATAAGTGAAATTTTATGTTTTATCGTTTTTAAAAAATGTTTGCAGACGAAAGGGACCCGAAAAAACGCAAAGTTAAACCTGTGGAATCTGCACAACAATTGTTGGATTTTGATTTGGAAGAAAGTTCTGATGACAGTGATTTTAGGATAGAGGACCATGCTGAAGAAAGTGATGATTATGATTCGTTAAATACTGATGACGAAGGAAATGGTAATTTAAAAATAGTTTAGACATATTAGTTTTATATGTTTTGTAAAATACATAACCTCAAAGTTGAGAGGTTTGCCCAAGGGAATGTTGTGCGCAAGGTGCTCAAACTCAAACTTATTTTCAAATAATAATAACAGTTGTTTGAGAAATCATTAAATGCATATTATGACGAAGCAAATCGTAATTTAAAGATATTCTAAAAGTATTTTGTATGTTTTGTAAAATACATTACGTACTATAATGTTACTAGAAAGCTTTATTTTAAAGTAAAGGGGTGCTAGGTCATGCAACTTAAATTTAGTGATTGTAAGTTACGAGGAGTAATTTTTAATTAAATTGCTAAAATAATAATAACGGTTGTTTGAGAAATCTTCAAATGTTCATGATGCAAACGGTAATTTAAAAATATTTTAGTAATATTAATTTTATATAGTTTGTAAAATACTCGACCTCAAAGTTCAGAAACTCAGGAATGTTGTGCGCAAGCTGCTCAAATTCAAACTTATTTTCAAATAATAATAACAGTTATTTGAGAAATCTTTAAATATATGACAAAGCAAATAATAATTTAAAGATATTCTAGAAATATTTTATGTTTTGTAAAACACATTACATGTATATGCTTATTAGAATGCTCAATTTTAATGTAAAGGAGTGCTAGGTCATGCAACCCAAATTTAGTGATTGTTATATGTACACACGTATCTAGGAGTAATTTATGTTCAAATTTATATTACCATAATAACTGTTGTTTGAGAAATCTTCAAATGTTCATGATACAAACAGTAATTTAAAAATATTTCAGTAATATTAATTTCATATAGTTTGTAAAATACTCGACCTCAAAGTTCAGAAACTCAGGAATGTTGTGCGCAAGCTGCTTGAATTCTAATTTATTTTCTAATAATAACAGTTGTTTGAGAAACCTTCAAATGTATGTGATAACAAAGCAAATGGTAAACCAAAGATATTCTAGAAGTATTTTATATGTTTAGTAAAATTTATTACATAAATGCTTATTAAAATGCTCAATTTTGATGTAAAGAGGTGCTAGGTCATGCAACTTAAATTTGCTGGTTGTTACACTTACACAAGTTACTAGAAATATTTTTTAATTAAATTGCTAATGTTATATTAATGGTTATTTGAGAAATCTTCAAATGTTCACAAAGCAAACGGTAATTTAATAATATTTTAGTAATATTAATTTCATATAGTTTGTAAAATACTTAATGTGAAAGTAAAGAGGTTTGTCCAAACCAATTCTGGGTTTGTTGTGCTCAAACTCAAATTTATTTTCAAATAATAATATGAGTTGTTTGAGAAATCTTTAAATGTATGACAAAACAAATAGTAATTTAAAGATATTCTAGAAATATTTCATATGTTTAATAAAATGCATTACAAATATGCTTACTAGAATGCTTTATTTTAATGTATAGGGGTGCTAGGTCATGCAACCAAAATTTGGTGATCGTTATACATACACAAGTTTCTAGGAGAGATTTATAATTAAAATGCTAAAAGAATAATAATTGTTTGAGAAATGTTCAAATGTTTACAATGCAGACGGTTATTTATAAAATTTTTAGAAATATTAATTTTATATGTTTAGTAGAATGCAACAATTTAATGCGAAAGGGATTCTATCCGATTCAAATCAATTCAATTAATGCTATGCGTAAACAGCAAAGAGTAATTTATAATTAAATTGTTAAAGTAATAATAACCCTTGTTTTGAGAGAGTTTAAATTTATATGATGATGAAACAAACAGTAATTTAGAAATATTTGCGTAATAATATTTTTGTTTATATTTATATTTTTATATTTACAAGTGAAGAGGTACTATTTGATTCTAATTAATTCTGTGAATTTTATGCACTATGTGTAAGCTGATAGTAATGCTTTATCTTTATTGTCAAATTGCTAAATTAATAATAACTCCCATTAGAATTTTTTTAAATTTTATATCCTAGACAAGATTCGTTTAAGTCTATAATTCTTTAAGTTTATATCCTAGACATAATAAAAGTACTATAAGGTTGATCTAAAAGTAATTTTGTTTTTGTTACCACAATGGATTTAATTATGTTTTTTGAACAACACATCACACTAATGCCCTAAAATTATTATATGATTTGAAACCCCATATATTAAAGTTTTGCCACATGAAAAATACTAATCAATTATGTGGAGTAGTTTTTGCTCTTTTAAATATGGAAAGCAATAATAAGCATTTTCCAGTTGTTTTGCTACAGAAAAGGTAAAAATGATGTTCAAGCCCTAATGAAATTCACTGATGTGAAAGATGTGTTGATAGTGCCTCTGTGCCAGAACTGGTTGGTTAAATTTTGTTCCAAAAATTTTGATGTCGAAGATGCACCACATTGAGGAAGATAGATTGAAGCTGTTAAAGACACGAGGAAGTCATTAGTTGATGCAAACCAGTGAATAATAACACATGAGATGCCATTGAATTTAATTTTATCGAATTCAACAGTTCGTCACCAGTTGAAAGGTCTGGTATTTTTCTTGAAGCTCAATATATAAGTTTTCCAGGTACTCATAAAGAGTACCGCTTCGTGGATTTGCTTCTGAAACGTCATGAAAATGATCAGTTTCTTAAGCAAATCATCAAGAGGAACAAGAAAAGGGTTGTATGCAATACATCAGATGCAATAGTGAATAAAACAAAAAAGAAAAACTTGCTCATAACAGTTGCAAAACCGATGTTCACCTGAAAAAGGTGTTGCTGTATATATTGTGAGATTTTAAAGGAGTTGTTTGTGATTCATCTTTTTTCAGGATAACATAACGATCAATTCATATGCCCAATGTTATCAACTGAATAAACTAAATTATGTACACCAATAGAAAAGGCCAAAATTAATCAACAAGCAAGACATCAGTTTGGTTAATAGCCAAAAGCTTTAACTGCTTGAATGGAACAGAATGTTACACTCATTATATTTTCCAGATTGGCATCATCAGATTATTATTCGTTCCGGTCACTAATAAAATTTTTAGACGTTAATATCTTTACCTCAAAGGAGGAGGTCAAAAAGCACCTTGCTCAGCTTTTGTTTTTGCCAGTAACGACCATAAAATTTATGGTTCTAGAATTATGCTACTAGGAGAAATATGACAAAAGTTGTGATAAAACGACCAATGTATAATTTGGTAAAGTATTGGTTTATTAAAAGAAACTGCCTTTCAAAAATGTCTATAAAAACGAAATTACTTTCTGAACGACCCAATATTTTGTAAAAAAATGTACTTGAAAGTAACAATTCAACAAAACAACTTTCAGCCGTGCATTTATTTTTGTAATGAATTAATTCAAGGAATGTTACGTGTATATTACTTTTTAGCCATAATAACTTTTGTTTGAGAAATATTGAAATTTATATTCTAGGCTAGGTATAAATTATATCTAGGCTAGAATATAAATTTCAATATTTCTCAAACAAAAGTTATTATACTGTATAATGTGTGTACTATGTGTTAGACATTTTTAAAAACGATTTTATTTTAATTGTTTTAAATTTTTTATTGCCTGTATACTATGTTGCGATGCTTTGAGCAATGATGTATATTTTGTAAAAATAATTACACTTAAAAGTAACAATTCAAAAAAAAAACACATTGCATCGTAACTTGTACAGTGCATTTATTTTTGTAATTTATCAATTCAAGGAGATGTTATGCACTTGTTGCTGAAACTGATAAATTTTAGTTTCTAATTGCTAAAATAATAACTCTTGTTTGAGAAATCTTGATATTTATATTTTAGACAAGATATAACCAAATTACTACTTTCTACACTTCTTCACAAACAATTATATTTATTTTTTAATTCATATTTGTTTGCAGAATAAATATCTATTAGATATGTTATAACTATTAATATACTAAATAATCTATTATATATTAGACTAAATATCTTTTATGTATTACATATGTTTTAGTTTATATAAGTTGTTACTGATTACGAAGTACATTGTATTATTATTGAATTAATATGTATAATAAATTTTATTGTGATGTCTAGATAAATGGACATTTTTAAATACCAGTAGCATTTGTTAACGATAATTTATAAAACATATTCTGATTGGAATATAAAGTAGAATTTATTATGAGTAAGAATGTTTGAGAGATTTTAAAATTGCTACAGTATTTTTTTTTTTGAACATTGTTTGGAATTTTATTAATATATATGTATATATACTAATCGTCTCTTCATTTATTTTAGATGATGAATCTGGTGATTCTGATGACAGTTCTGACTCTGAGGATGAAAAAGCAAAAAATTCTCAGGCAAATGATCAAGGCAAATCAATTAATGATATTATACAGGAAGCAAAAAATAAAATAAATCAAGATGGAAAATGCCAGGCAAGTTGTGAAAAGAGACACTGAATCAAATTGGAGATATGATTTATATTTATATAAAGACTACCTAAAGATTTTATATGATTTTATGCTTGTTTTAAATTGCTTCTTTGTTCATACTTTTTCAACATTTTTGATAAATTATGCACAGGCACACATAAATAATGTGTAAAATGTGTGACGTTTTTTAAAAGGGACTTTTTTTGCAGAATGGATCCTATCCAGTATCCTTTTTTCTTTAATAATTGTGCTCAGTAGAGTTCTTTCTTTGCTGACTCTTCTCAGAACTTCATCATTTGATAATAAAATCTTTATCAATATATCATATATACTGATATTATGACACTATGAAATATTCATACAGTTTTTTTTATTTAGCTAATATATATAATAAATTTCCTATTGACATTATTTCATTCTTAGTATTTAGATTTAGTTTATGTATATCTTATTTATTTAATATTTCTTATATTTTACAGTTTGATAAAAAGATTAAAACTCCTCCAATTTGTGCGGGTTGTCTGGGAGACAGGAGTGATGATACAAATGAAATTGTGGAATGCGATGGATGTGGTACGACTGTTCATGAAGGCTGCTATGGTGTCTCAGATTCTGCTAGTGTTTCTAGTACGGTTTCATCTTGTTCGACAGAGCCATGGTTTTGTGAGGCGTGCAAGGCTGGTGTCATGAATCCACACTGCGAATTGTGCCCTAATGAAGGTAAGAAATGATAGTTGACTTTTGTTTACAATTGCTCTATTATAATAATGTAATTGCTGCAGTGCTATTGTTAACACATAAGGCTCAACTCTAAATCATTCAAATATATTCTATATACCTTTCTAACAGGATTAATTCTAAAGTATTAATCCTTCCTTCCAAGAAACTATTTTTCCTTGAACTCGATTCAAACAAATTGCAGGTCAATAACTAATTGCACAAAAATGTAATCAGATTTTGTTCTAATTTTTTCAATTAGTCAAAATTAAATAATGTTTCATATTTATCAAGTTTAAACATGAGCTTTTGTAAGCTTCTTTACAACTTTGCTTTGAAATGGATGTTCATTTATTATTTCATTTGCAAATTTAATTTATTATTTTTCAGGAGGGATTTTCAAGGAGACTGATGTGGGAAAATGGGTGCATTTGGTATGTGCACTATACGTACCAGGTGTTGCTTTTGGCGAAGTGGATCATTTATCTTCAGTAACTCTTTTTGAAATGCCTTATAATAAATGGGGAGCAAAAGTTTGTTGTCTTTGTGAGGATGATAGATTTGCACGAACTGGTGTTTGCATCGGATGTGATGCTGGGATGTGCAAGACTTACTTTCATGTCACTTGGTGAGTAGAATATAGTGATTTATTTAATTTCTCGTAGGGTAAGTTATCAAAATTGCATTAATTTTTTGTTTTATTAAATTAATAATATATAATTAAATATTAACAAATACACTTGTATGCATTGGTGACTGTAGTGGCATTCATTGTATGTTTTTTCAAATCTAATTTTTCTGCTCATTTTTAAGAGAACCAGATGATTTTAAAATATGAATAGTTACACGATTTATTGTTTTAGATTTCTAATTGGAATTTATATTGATAAGTATATTATTTATAATTGATTGTTAATTTGAAAGGAAAGAAATAGATTAGTAAATATTTAGAAAATTTTTAAAGGTTTGCTAATAATTTTGAATTGAGAATATTGGTTATTGGTTGAGAATATTGGATTAATTTATTATTAATTAGTCTTAGTACAATTCAATATTTTATCTGTTCTTGTTTGAATAATGTTTTAGAACATATATGATATACAAAGAATTATTTTTTATTTTTTTGCTTAGTGCTCAGAAAGAAGGTTTATTGTCCGAGGCACATACCGAAGAAGTTGATCAAGCGGACCCATTTTATGCTCATTGTAAATTGCATTCAGATAAAACATTGATTCGTAAGAGGAAAAGGAACTGGTTGGCCCTACAAATACAGACACAGTGCAGGTAAATAGTTTTTAAAATCCTATTCTTGCATATTTTTCTTTATTTTATAAGTTGGTTGCATCTCATACAGTACAGAAGCACTTAATAACATTTTACATTTAATTATTAAGGTAAGATAGTTTGTGAAATAATATAATCAAATAGTAATTTTGTATTTATTATGAGAAAATTTGAGTATTTATAAAGCATCTGATGGATTGATTAGTTTCATGTGAAAATTTTTCTAGTTGTTTTCTTATTTAATGACTTTCGAAACTTGTTGACTGGAAATATTTAAAAATTATATTCTCTCTTACGATTATTATATTTGTGTAATTTTTTTTTTTTTGTGATACAGTATTTAACTTGAGGCAAATTGCTGGAATTTCCCGTACCGTTATGAAATATTCAAGGAATGTTTAATGTTTTCAAATAGATTATTATACTTCGTTTATTATTCGTATTTAATAGACAAAATATAAGAGCTCATAAATTGGACGACGACGTTATATATGTTTGTATGAAAAGTAAATAAACAAAGCTTAAAATAAAAGACATTGTCTAATATTTATAAGAATTATATAAACTGAATTCGTTGCAAAGTTAAAATTATTCATTTGAAATATATAAGTGATGTTTAGAACTTTCGTTAGAATTAAAATAGAATTATTTTCGGCATTCAAAAAAAAAGGAAATTAAAAAAAAATGAAATATAATTTTTTTTTTTCAAAAGAAATGGTCAACACGAGCAGAAAGTTTTTTAAATCAATCAAGTCGGGTGATTAGTTCTCTTAAATAATGCTATTTTTTTCACTCCGAAACGGTTGGACCTTTGCCAAAAACTAGTCAGCACGTCTTACCATAAATAGGAATCGAATGTTTTTCGAATTATTCAAATCGGTTCTTCCATAAGCCCGAAATCGTTGCCGAAAAATCGTATCCACACATACCGAGGTATGACAAGATGTTAAGAAACCTCTGAATCGTGAAGATCTGCAAGAATTTTTATTTTTGTTTTTAGCCCATTCCTATAACTTATCCTACGGGAAATTTAAAAAATACGGATTATTCGGCCATGATTTAGAAATTACACCGTGTTTGTATTATGTGCGTGCTTGTTTGACAATCTGTAATACTTGAACCATTTGTCGAAAATAACCAAAATGTGTGAAAAAATTGTACAAATTTGAATAAACTTCAGCTCTTCTAATATTATGAGTCCCTACAGCAACTTGATATACTTATAAATCATTTCAATGATTCTATTATAAGTATAATAGTATAAACTTCTAGTAGGACAAGTTATAGTTTTTTTTTTTTTTTTTTTAATTTCAATAATTATTACAACTGGTAAATAATTAACATCTAGTAATATTGATAAATAATAACATAAATTTAAATAAATAACAGTGCAAAGGATAAAATTTACATGAAAATAATATCCCTAATATGATGATATAATAAAAATAAAATTAATAAATAATAGAAATAAAATTTCTGAATAATGAAATAATACTAGAAAAATAATAAAATATAACAAAATAACAATAATAGAAATAGTAAGATAAATAATAATAAGAATAATAATAATAATAATAATAATAATAATAGTAATAATAATAATAATAATAATGTTAGCGTTTACAAATTTATGAGATCATTGCGAATTTTTCGTTTTAGCCTTGTTGGGCGCGCTTCTGAGAATACTTTTTGTGCCAAGCAATTTGGGTGTTCGTCAATTCTTCTTTTGTAGTTTTTATAGTAATCGCAAAAAATTAGAAAATGAAAATTTTTCTATATCTTTACGTTTCAAAGGTTTCTAAATATTTTGGCATACCTTCGACGATTTCAGAACACGGATCAACCGATTTGAATAATTCAAAAAACATTCGTTTTGTATTGGTAGAGACGTGCTGATTAGTTTTTGGCAAAGGCAGGTCTAGCTGTTTCGAAGATACAGAGCAGAAAGTGCAGAAATTCCGATTAGATCCTAGACATCGGCTTATAGCGTTGAGCGTGAGCATGTCGTTATACCTGAGTTGGTTGGCACGTCACCATTCGCGTTAGTAGATAAGAAAGTCAATACTGATCGGGTTCGAATTTCACGTCTCTAATACTTTTTTAAATTTTTTTTCAATACTTTTTATGTTTGTATAGTTGATACTCCATGAGCTATTTAAAATTGTTAACTCAGTGCAAATATTTCGCAAACGAATAATTGATGCATTTGAAATAAAATATGTTTATTTTAACAATAAGTCTGCTTAATTAGATTTTGTTTATGTATATTTCATTCAAACATATATAAACAACGTCGTCTAATCTAATAAATTTTCACATTTTGTCTACAAGGAACAAATAATGAGAATTATAGTTTTTATAATATTTATTCATAGACATTTTTGTTGACTGATTATTTTTATTCTTCGAATGTTTACTTACGAAGCCATGCACCCCACTAGTTTTGTGATTTAAAGTTAAATGTAACTCTTATATTTTAAAGGAAACAGGAACGCGATATTCTCCAAAATGACGATGGAGAAAGTGATCCCACGTTGCAGCGAATTCAACGCAAACTTCGAAAACATCGAACAAAATATTTACACAATAAAACATTGAAAAGTGCACCTTGGGTCCCAACACAGAAAATGCCTCGTCTTCTTACAACTTCTGCTTCGGCATGCAAGAAACTTCTGAATAAAGCAGTACTCATGGGTATTGACACTGAGGCACTTGAAATACAAGATGCACATTGTCAAGCCTTATTGGATGTTAGGAAGAAATGGAATGTTCCACCAGCTTTTAGCGTTGAATTTATAGGTAAATAGAAAAGCATATTTTAACAAGGAGAACCTTAGATTTACTCTTCTTTATTTTGATGACTTTTTGCATGTTGATAGAAGTTGACCGAACTCCTAAAAATATTATATTATAGGCCTATGACAAGTGGTTCAATTATAAATATTAATTGAAGTTGCAAAAAATATACTGTGCCTCTTAAAGCGCTTGCTCCTGCTTTTTGCATTAAAATTCATACATAAGAGAGTTAAACATTATCAAGTTCGAGTCCTGTTAGCTTATAATTTATTTTTATTTTTTAGGCTCATTTTCATGTTTGAATAATTATTATTATAAATATTGCAAAATTATTTATAATAATTAAATAATTTTATATATTCTGCTAACAAAATATGATATATTTGAAATAAATCTTAATAAGTACCTATTTTATAGATATATATAGATTTTATAGATAGGTGTGTGTATATGTAAGTATTGAATTTTAATACAAAATATAACTTAAAAGTTATTTAATTTCATCTGTATTACTTTTTTCTGTAATAATATTTACTCCAAACATTTGTTGTTTTGTTTTAGGATACTATCTTGACCGGAATAAAAGAGTAACTTCAATGAAGCAAGGATTGCATCAGTTATTAGAAACAAATACGAAACTTTTAGCCGAACAAAAATCTTTGAGAGATAGATATGATGAGGTGAGTCGAATAGTTTGGTATGGTTTAGTTTACTTGTGAAGAAAAAGCTGACAATAATTGAAGAAAACGTTGTGCAATATTGTCTTTTGCTTAAATATTTGTTTTCTTGAAATCTATTTCAAATTAATTTACTGTGTAATAAGCATCTTTATACTGTGCTAATGTATACATACTACTCATATCAATTTTCACAACAATATTGAAAAAGGTACTTTGACCATAGCTTTGCCATTTATACACAATAGTATAAGAGACTGTTTTTCTTTAAAATTCAAATTCAAAATCAGGCAAAATTTAATGATTACTTACTATATGTATAACAAGCTGATTATATGCAATTTTATATTAGATACATATTTGCATTTTTTTTTTTACAAAATATTTTGTATGACGTCCATTTATTATTGTGATTTCCTATGTGTATTTGATTTCATTTAGACATATAAAATAACAATATTTATGAAATAAGTGCAAGATACCGTATTAACTTTCCGTAGTGTAACTCTATGAAATCACAAAAAATCCAATGATAAATTTACTTTTGAAAAAAAAGTTGCATTACGTGTATGTGCATGTATAGTTTTGCTTACATGACTGAACCGATTTTAATGATCTTAAATGCATTTTATTAAAGTGGTAAGACGCAAAGCTTTTTCCCAAAGGTAAGGCCTGACGTTTTGAAAAAGTGATATAAATATTGAAAATATTAAATATTAAAAATTTACAGATTTTTCATAAGGGTTTTGATGAAATACAAACATTTTTGTTTACTGATTTTTGGGTTCTCAAAATGCTTATAAGATTCACATTGAAGACTTATGAGACTTTGGCAGGAATTTACAATTTGTTTTATTTTTTCTTATTAACTTCCCGGAGGGTAAGTTATAGTAATGGGCCGAAAATCGAAAATGATGATTTTTGCATATCTTCACGTTTCAAAGGTTTCTGAACATTTTGCTATACCTTAGAAAAAATGAATGTATGTGTGTGTGCTGATTAGTTTTTGGTGAAGACAGGTTCAGCCGTTTCGAAGATACGGGACAAAAGTGCCAAAAACGGTAATTCAGTTGTAGAGAGAAAGGAGTACGTGATTCGAATGATTCAAAAAACATTTGGCTTGTATTGATGAAATGAAAAATTGGTGAAATTTTTGGTATGGCAGGCCTAGCGGTTTCGGAGATACAGAAGAAACAGTAAAAAAATGATATTTGGCGGTCAAAAATGATAATTAGATATATGCACATCAAATTATCAGATATTTGATAAAAATTTAATGATAATAATTTAAATGAGTACTGATTTTTTTACATTTTTTTCGGGTTCCATGCCAAGATTTTTCATTGCCTAATTGCCACACCATAAAAAAACATCATATATAGGTGTTAGAATAAGCATGGTTTTGGTTACAATGTCTCATTCTATTTTAGTTGTTTTAAACTCAATCGATTTATATTGACCAGGTGTCGAACTAATATTATATATTATATGTAATTTCAATTTTTAGGCTATGAAAGACAGCACAGAACATTCCCGCCGCAATATTTCCCTTAAGCAAACGATCGCAAAGCTCCACGGCGTTATTAGCGATCTGTGTCCGACTAAATCACTGCCTTCTGTAGATAGTTTAGGCCAGAAACAATCTATAGTAGTTCCCAATAAGCTATCGCCAGTTGTAGCTTTAGGTCCTCGATCTCTAACTGACAACAATATGAGGAAGTCGATGGGTGTGCCAACTGCTGCGGCCCTTAAAATGGGGGTTGGATTTCCGCTTAATCATCATGGTGAGGATCAGACCGGCGGAAAAACACGAGGCAGCATCGGAGATGGAGCGAATAGCGGGAAAGTACTGAGCACTAGTAGGCAAGGTTAGTATATAATGATACATTTCATTTGAACTTATAATTTCATTTTTAATTTATATCTATTGGTGCTTCTGATACTAATTCGTAAGTTTTGATGCTCTGATATTGATGTTGGCAGCACTTCGAAGTGTATATATTATATATGTATATATATCACCCAAAATACAAAACAAAATTGATCTGCGACAATGTTATTTTTTTTATCCAAATAGAATATCATGTTATATATCACTTCACTCAATAAGTCCATAGAATAACTAAGAAAACCCAATTTTTGGCAAATTTTTTTTTTTTATTCAATATAGTTTTTTTTTTAAGACGATATACCGATTATAGCAAACTTCACACGTTTTGTTACCATTTTTGTAGTACGATTTGTATCTTTCCATAAAATTCGGCTATCATCTCATTATTTTGCAAAAATTTCTTGACAGTGAGCATTCTTTTGAGATCTGGCAACAGGACATGGTTGCTGGGGAACAGATTTAGAGAATATAATGAGTGGGGAAGCAATTCGGTGCCCAATTCATGTTTTTTGTCACTGTTTTCAAGGATTTGTGATTTGGCGCGTTGCCCTGATGGAGCAGCATTGGTTTTCTTTTTGAAATGAGGCCATTTTTCGATTACGATCACTGTTAATGCTCTAGCCTTTCTCGAGATAGTTGATAAAGATCATTCCTTGCAAATCCCAAAAAACTGACGTCATAAACTTGCTTGCTGATTGTTTGCATCTTTTATCCTCATCGTGCCTAGTTCTCTCGAATGACGGTGAAGCCAGGTCACATCCATGATAACAAATTGATACAAAAACCCGTTTTCATTTAGATTAAACAACTCCAAATACTCTTACGAATCATCAACTCGTTATGATTCTGGTCAAATGTGAGTTCGCGCGGCACCCATTTTGCACAAAGGTTTTTCCTATTCATATATTTGTGTACGATATGTCCAGCACATTCTATTGATATCTTTATGGTGTTAACTATCTCAGACATTTTTACTTTTTGGTTTTCCAAAACGTTTCTACGGACTTTTTTTTATATTTTCCGGTGCAACCACCTCAATTGGCCTTCCAGAGCGTTCAGCATCATTAGTGTCTGTATGGCCACGATTAAAATCAGCAAACCACTTTTCCACTTCTGCCTCGATTTGGCACAGTCCAGATAACGCTTATCAAGTGCCCACACAATTGCTTTGAAATCGTGGTTTCGAAAAACTCGAAAGTAGCGTCACTTGAACCCCTTGTAACTTGTAAACTAATCGTCCGATTATCATGAAATTTTGACATATACCTTCCTAATGTTAGTGCTTGCTACGAATCATATGAATGATTACATAGCTACATCGTCTATGTGTTATCCTACGGACTTATTGAGTCTTGTAATATAAGGTGACCACTAAGTAAATGTGTTTTTTTTAAATCAAAGTCTATTTTTTCATGGACTTTCATCCATTACCTTTTGAAATCCTTAAGGTAGTATCATAATCTCAGGTTCGTAAAACTTCAGATTTGTATTAGCAAAAAACTGAATCAGGTACAAATTAACTTTGTTTTTATGAAAATTTTTACCTTTCAAGTAGTTTTGTAAAGATCGAAACAAAAAGTAAACAGGTGGTGCGATGTCAGGACTATATGTTGGATGTGGCAAAACATCCCAACCAAGTTCCAATAATTTTTGCCAAGTGGCCAAGATCTGTGATTTCAATGATGAAATACATGGCATTCCAATTTGTCAATTCAGGCCGCTCTTTTACAACTGCGTTGTTTAAATTGATTGTTCAGATGGTTGTTAAGAGTCCAAAGTAGGCAATTCCTTTGTAACGTCTCCACACTCCAAACTGATAACAAATTCTTCTTATGATGACTGTCAGCTTTTGACATTTTTTGAGCTGGTTTATGTCACTTGGCCTGCTCCACGATTTTGTTTGCTTGATACAATATCAATATGAACATCTCATTTTTTAGTCGTTTAAAACTGGTTCATTTCATTAAGAAGTTTCTTTAGCAAATCCTAGTTGCTAATGCGTCACTTTCTTTCAGTTTGTGAGAAATCTATATAGCGAGTTTTAAATATAGCCAAGGCTATGTTATGAAGAATTTTCCATACAAATTCGTTCTAGTTATTGACAAAATCTATGTGGTTGCTGTGCAGTCAGGCATATTTCTCAGGTTGTCAGATAGAAAACCTAACCTAGAAACCGCACAAATGTAAAAAAACGATCTTAGATAATAGGGTCTTTCTGACTCAGGTTCATAACGTACGAGTGACGTTGCAGTTTATGTGTAAAACGTCTGAATGAACAGTAAATACATGATCTTTTGACAGTATTCAGTATGATTCAGTAGCATAATGTATGGAAGTTGGAGCGTAACATGGCTTTGCCATAACACTGGTTAGAATGAGCCCATAACCTTCCGATTGACCACTGCCTTTATTCCTGTGGGTCGCTTATTGAGATACGTGTTATGTATTTTTAATAGTTATCAAAATTCAAGTCAAAATTTATAAAGACCATTTGGAACAAACCAATTTCAATGGTTTTCTATTTATACCACAGGGCATTTGGTATTAGAAATGAATACTTTGCATATATTTAACTAAATATTAGTACATTGTATTCAAATTAACCCAATTTTTTTCAGAGGCTATACCGCTCAACAACGAATGTGGTATCTGCAAAAAACGGCATGATCAACATTTGCTTGCAAAATGCGATGTATGTCATCTCTACTATCATCTCGGTTGCTTGAATCCTCCGTTGACTAGACTGCCTAAAAAGTCTAAATTGTACGGTTGGCAATGTTCAGAATGTGATAAATCTTCTGATTCGGAACCTGATATCACGCAGCCGAAAGCGCCCAGAAAATCCAGGACGAGGTATTTCAAGTGGGGCGATATTTATGCTTATGAAATTGCCTGAAGGGAAATGGGAACTCAGCATGATCAGCATAAGTCGCTAATGAAGTTTTCAGTAGTTTTTGTGTAAATAGAGAGAAGTATTTTATTCTAACCAAAGAAGTGATATATTTATTTGTCTGTGATAGTCAGCTTTATTTGTTGCTTAATGTATATATATTTATTTAGTTAGTAATGTAGATTATATTAATTTAACATATATTTATGTTTGCTATTAAATATTTAATATAATGCATGGTATGCTTTATGAAAATATGTTGATTTATTAAATGGGCTAAATCTTCTAAACTAGAATCTTGCTCTGATTGTTGGATAGTAGAAGTGTTGAATTAAATGATTTTTTTTCCTAATAAGTGATTTTTTCCTCCTTATTGTTTTCCGACCAACTAAAAGTGACTCCAGTTTAGAAGTATGATTTTCTCATTAATAATTATAGTTAATTCTGTATTTTTTTGTCGGTTATTATCTTCTTGGGAGGAGCCTGCTTTAAATGCTTCAAAAAATCGCTTTTTTGAGGAATTTTTAGGGAAGGAAATAAGTATTTAATTGAAACGAGGTTTTTTCCAGGTTTTATTATTACATATGTCAACAATCTTCACAATTTTTTTCATTAAAATATATGACATAATAAGCCGGGTACAAGCATTTTGCCGATGCGCCACGAGCGTGCAGGTCACAATTTTCATCCGAAACAAAAAATTCAAAACAAATATATATTTTCAATAGTATAGATTCTAGTTGAACCTAAAAAATCCAGAAAAAAATGAGAAATTCACCCATTTTTCGCAACTTGAAAAAAAAATCATGTTTTTTTATACAAAATTTCCCTTTAGATCGTTTAAACAGTGTAATTATAACTTTTTTCAAGTTTTTTTTTAGGTTCAACTAGAATAGAATTTAATCCTGAATTCAATGAAATTTGTCTCGTTTCGATAGGACGTTTAGTTTATTTTCCTATCTTTCCCGCCAATTAGGAAGAATCGAAAAAATTCAAAACCGAGATATCGCTAATCGAAGTTTTTGTTCGGCTCATATACATGCTTTGACGCTTGCTCACTATTTCTTCTGTAACTCCTAAAACAATTTAAATTTTTTTCTGAAATTTTAGGGATATATTCTTGGCTAGTTTTGGAAGACATTTTAGCAAAAAAAATCGATTGTTTTAAAGCCTCTAAAGCAGACTTCCCCCTTAAAGAAGACATCAGATTTACTCTTCTGGGATTTCGACCTCGCATTTTGATAGATTAAACTCTGTATTCAAAACGAATACAGTTAAAATATTGCAGGCCTATGAAATGTGGTTTGATTACAAAATTAATTAAAGTTAGGAAAATAATTTTTGCGCTATGTGACAAAATATAGTGTTTCCAAAGATAGTCCTATGGTTAAGGACTTCCAAGAAATACCCTCTTTTTGCGTTTTTCGTGAACGTTTGTTAGTTTATTTCTACTGATTTTTTTTTACTATGACAAAGTTTAAATTTTTTAATATAAAAACTGTTTGATTCAAATATCAGGACGGTTTATTTTTTTTATCATATTTAGTGTTGCCAGAGATTTTATCATTCGCCCCATTATATTTTGCCTTATGTGCAGGATAATTATAAATAACTGACATGTTTTTTATTTTAATTTTCAAAGCACAAACAGTTATTGAGTTGAAGACTGCAGGCGAAGGAAAAGTTCACTATTATACCAAAATGGTGTATAATTTTGTCTAAAAATTATTTTTTATACATTTTTATTTTAGAGCCATCATTTAAAACAGGTGCAAGTAATATTTTTAATTACTTTAATTGAACTAGATGTATATGACGTTTTCCATAACACCCATCATTCATCATTTCAGTTAATAAGAATTGTACGCTTTTCAAATAATCTCACTTGTGGCAAATTTTTATTTACTCAGTAATTGTAGGAATTTGAAAAAAAAATTAAAAATAATTGAAATTTAAATATTTTAGATTTGCATTGCTATGTAATTTTCTTTCATTGCTAACTCATTTTGCAGTCTATAACGATTCAGTTGCTATCAAATGGTAGGAATGAGACTGAAGCAGGTCTCCTGTTTTTCTAGTACAATAACTCCTCTCTTTTTTTCATCCAATTTTTATCAATTATTAGTATAAAATCCAAAATCCAAACCAAAATCATATCACGATATTTCTATAAGCGGTTTTTGATTTTGATTTTGATTTTTATACTATTCTTATATTTGCCTAGTTAAATATTATACAGTTATTGCATATAATTCGCAATTAAAAAGTGATAGATTTAAAGTAAATTTCAGAGTATATTAGTTTGATTTGCATCAGGTGTTGACAGTTAATATATCTGTTAAAATTGATAGAAAAAACTGTGCCTCTACAGCGCGCAGCTTTTCATAATTAAACCACTTCTCATAGGCCTATAATATTTTAAGCGGGTGTTTTGTGTATCAACTCTATCTCCTTATCATCACATACCTGACTGTTGTATCCATTACGCGTATATATTTTTAATTTTGAATTTAAATGATCAACGTTAACGTTTTTTTGTTTTTTTGTTATTAGGCAGCTTCAGATTGATACTACTTCGTCATTATTTATCAAATATATTTTGAAAGATACAATCTTGAAATAATGCCTTAAAACAGCGGTCGGGAAACTTTTTTAATCATTATCCCTAAATATTTTAGTCCACTTTGATATTACCTCCTCATTACTGTGTAGCAAATATAGTCAATATCAATTGAAATTACATAATTTTTACTCCCATTTTTATTACATTTGGGGTAATTTAACGCCGGTTTCCCGACCACTGCTTTAAAGTAAATAAGTATATATGAAATGCACATAATTGCTTTTTAAAATTTAGTAGTACGACACTTCTTTAGCATTTATTAACACTTTTTAAAATATTTTGTTTATATTATGTTCTGGTACTTCATTTGTTTTCAGATTCTGGTACTTCATTTGTTTCTCGTTCAAGTTAATTGTTATTGATTGTATGATCGATTTTTTCATACATATTACTTTTGCTTCTGTATCGTAATATAGCTTGTAGCTAGACTAACACTCCAAATCAGTGTTTTCCAACTTGAGGCTCATGTTTCACAATAGGGTAAATTGATAGATAATGGAAAGAGTTAATTCAATAATGGACTTACCTGTCGATTTTTTGGTTATGGAACTAGATATATTTGATAAATTTATTACAAAAAAACTAAATTTATTAAAAAATGTTGGATAAAACTTATTATTTATATTTTAAAAAAGCAACTTTTAAGTTTAGAATTTATATGTTTCATTTTTTTATTTATTTATATATATATATATATATATATATATATATATATATTTGCAAATGTGAGACATGGCTTGAATAAGTTTGGGAAACACCGCTGCATTTATTTTTGCAATACTTTACTAACCTTCAGCAGATTATAGCAATTAACTTATTTTACCAAGCATATATCATACAGTAGAATCTTGCTAATACGACACTATTAAAATCCAGAGTTTTAAAAGTAAAAATTTCCTTCTAATTTACACAAAATTGTCCAGAAGCTTCGATCGCTGATGTCGGATTATCGGAAGTGTCGGACTATCGAAGTCTTGAATTAGATAGATTCTACTGTATATAATATTTTTTAACCATATTAACCATATTTTAGAAATTTAGATAGACTGCAGTCTGCAGAATTATATATAGGTAATAGAAAATGTGGTTGAGGTAGTATAAAATAGCGATATAGGTGGTTGTGGCACATTATTAGATATCAGATTTTTGTAAAACAATTTGTACATAACAACAACAACAACAAAGTGTTATGTACATATGTATTATATAACAGTTGTACTATATGCAGTTATCTTATTATTTATCTAAGGATGCAGTTATCTTATTATTTATCTAAGGATGCAGTTATCTTATTATTTATCTAAGGATGCAGTTATCTTATTATTTTAATGGATGCAGCTATCTTATTATTTATCCAAAGATACAGTTACCTTATTATTTTAATGAATGCAGCTATATAGTAAATATGTACTGCACATAAAAAATAATAAAATAGCTGCATTCATTAAAATAATAAGATAACTGTATCTTTGGATAAATAATAAGATAACTGCATCTATTAATATGGTGATGGAATTTTGATGCAGTACATATATTTGGTTCATTTAAGGGTTGCATTCTGGTTTATCATAAAAACAACACGAATCCAGGAAACTGATATAAATTATTACTATACTGGTCTATATCTGGTAAAAATCGACTTGAGATGTTTATTTGTACCAGGCAAAATATACAACTGCATGATAATTGCTAACTAGTTAAATATGCGTGCATTATATTGGCATCCTGTTCAAGAACTATTTTCTATTTATTACTTCTTCATACTGATCATGTTTATTTTATTAGGTACAGCAAAGATGGCACGATAATACCAGCCACTACTCTGGACCAAATCGATAATAGCCTGCACACTGAAGACAAACAGTCTTCTGTGAATAATACTCACACGATTTCGCCTGAAATCAATAATGTTTTGACGACTGAATCTGGTACTGCAGCAGGCAGTGGTTCTTTGAAATTCACTATTAAATCTGTTGACAAATTGGCTGTGGCAGGAGATGCTAATTACACTGCTGAAATTATGAACATATCACAAGGTAAAGAATAAATGAATGAAACTTATCTTTTTCACCAAAAATACCATTTTCAGGTGCATGAACTTTTATTTTGCTATAAAAAGTATTAGCCGATTTGAGATTGTATAGTAACAGCTTTTTTATAAAGGTTATTATATCCTTGTATATAATTCAAAAATTATAGATATTTTGAATGAATCTATTCCATCTTGTCACCATAGAAAAAAATTACTTTTTTGGTTTTATAATTTGGTTTTATAATATTACTATTTTGTATCTCGGGATAGAGGTTAGTGCAATAATAAAATGATTGCAGATAGTTTTGTAAATAATAATAGTTAATTAATAAAAAGTAAAAACAGTAAAGTTTTATCATTGCAATGAATATTTATATTTTATTTTTACAAGTAGAATCTTTTTCTTTGTTTTGTTGAACTGATATTTCACTTTGTTTGACTAATGTTGTTTATTATAGTATTTTGTTTGAGTATGGTGTATAACTTTAAAGCTTAACACCAAATTAGTATTTTAAAAAGTATAAATGTTAACAATATTTTTTAAGAAAGCATACACTAATTTTGTATTTTATTTATTTTTCTTAAAAGTTACCAATATTTTTATAAATGATCTTGATTTTTTTTCTAGAATCAGATCAAAATGTGGAATTTGTCAAAAAGGCGGCAAAAAGCAAAAGTAATAAAAAATCAAGAAAAGAGAAACGCAATCATTTGGTTCAGGAAACTTATTTTCTTCAGCAGCAGCAATCTCTTTCTAATACTACGGAGGAAAACATCACAAATCAGTTTGGAGACAGTTCATTTTTGTCAGAGGGCTCGACATTCAGACCTAGTATTGAAGGTACATGAACTTAAAATATATTTACAATATAATCAAATTACACATTTACCCAAAATTATATTTGAAAATACTTAGAATCATAGATGTTCACTATGTATAGTGAGTACATAGTAATAACAATACTATGAAATTATTGGGTTGCTCAGAAAGTAAGTTCGTTTTTTGTAGACATTTTGGCACGTAATTTTCGTACAATAGACAAATACTTTAATAAATTATGTATTGGCATAATTTTTTGGTCCTAATTGGCAAAAAACTGATCAAAGTGCTTTTTGACCTCCTGATTTGAGGTAAAGGTTTTACCGCTGAACAATTTTTTTAGTGATCGTGTGGGGAAATCAAGCACGCTAGTGTTTAGAGAGAAAAACAATGGGACTTGTCATATATTTTCATATCAGTAATATTTTATAATGAATAAATTTTATATATTTTTATACGATGGGAGTTTATACTTTAATATACACTACTATTCCCACATTGGTGACCTACGACGATTGAAATGAAGACAAAGAGGGAGTTTTATTTTTCGAGGATTTTGAGAAATATAGATTTTTATGCAGCACCATAATCACTGGTCTTCAGAGACGACTTATAAGGTACGTCCAGTCCTCGGTTCATCATAGTTAACGCACTTACTACCTGAACCGGACTTTCGTGGTTACCCATTTTGTATACCCAGACCTCAGTGTTTATTGCTGACAAAAAAATAATTTGAAGCCTAGACTTTTCATTGGAATGCAATTCAACCTCTCCTTGTCCGTTAACTCAACAAATCGTCTTTTGATGCTACCTCCCATTATCGGTGACAGCGACGAGTCAAAACAAAATTTGACATAAATTATTTATTGGATTCCATAATTCTGGACTCTTATGTTAAAGAAACCAATGATCCTGATTTGGATAAAGAGCCTACTTCTTTCTCCGATCGGAACCCATCAGATACGAATGCAACGAATGCGGAAATGGAAACCCATAAATTATGCATTCCAAACATTAAGTAATTCTGATATAACTAATACCAATTAGATCGAGGCTGAATCTTAGAAGTTCACCGACATCGAGGTTCAGGAAGTTCACTACATGACTTATATTCAGAACCATAGGCAGAGTTTGAAGATGATGAAAGGTCGAATTACCTATCATACGGTGGATCTGCCGACGAAACATGGAATTACTAATTGACTAGTACCACTATACTGCTATAATCTACTTTCCCACCATATTTTTATAACGTGTTTCCCTGTATTTTCTTTTTAAACTGTGAGGTCAACACTGGGCAGGGAGTGTGTGGGGAAATGAAGCAGGCTAGTGTTTAGAGAGAAAAACAATGGGACTTGTCATATATTTTCATATCAGTAATATTTTATAATGAATAAATTTTATATATTTTTATATGATGGGAGTTTATAGTTTAATATACATTACTATTCCCACAATCGGAACAAATAATGGTCCGATGATGGCAGGTCTGGAGAATATGATAATGTGGCATTATGCATCAATCAAACTGTAAAAGCTTTTGGCGATGCATCAAACTTATCTGAGGTTTTGTGTCGTCTTGATACCGTGATACCTTAATACCTTGATACTATACCTTGCTTGAGGGTTAATTCTGACCTTTTCTATTGAAGTACATTATTTAGTTGATCCAGCTGATGACATAAGGCATCCACATTATCCGTTATGTTATCTTTAAAAAGCTGAAAAACGAACAACATCTTTAAAATCTCACTAAACATACTGCATCATCCTTTTTGGCGAATTTTAGCTTTGCAACTATTTTGAGCAGGTTTTTCTTTTTTGTTTCATGGGTTCTTTACATCCAATTTGACATTCTTAGTGACAAACCGCTTTAAAACCTGAACATTTTTATAACTTTTCAGAGGCGAATAGCGGGCGCTAGTGCGACGACACAGTTTTCTTTCTATGAGAACCATACATTGAGCTTCGAGGAAAATCCCAGACCTTTTAAGTGGTCTTGAACAGTTAAATTTGATATATTTAAACTCAATGGGATCTCATGTATTATTATTCGTCGGTTTGCATCAACTAATACCTTTCTCGTGTCTTTATCAGCTTCAACCGTACTTCTTGGACGTGGTGTATCTTGGACATCAAAATACTAGAAATGAAATATACCAAACTAGTTTTGGCACTGTTGTACTATCAATACTTCATTTCCATACACATTGCTCAATTTCATTTTTATTTAAACAGTATTTTTACTTATTCTAAAAAGCAAAAGAGTAAAATATGTCAAAAAAGCTGCTTAATTCTTTCTGTATTCAAAGTGGCATGGTATTCAAAATCTACTGCATGTAATTGAATAGAATTTTTACACACAGGCCTTAAAATATAAGTTTTAAAATCATATAATAATTATAGGGCTCAAGTGTGATTTTAGGTTCAAAAAATATAGGTAAAATACGAAGTGACTTTCCGAGAAATCTTTTATAATTAATGCTACATGAAAATAGATGAATAGCCAATAGCAACCTGTCTTAGCAAATTGTACCTATAACCGTTTATACAATTATTTTAGTTTTTATAAAAATCTCTGTAAATATCATTGTCAAATATTTGTATTTTGTTTCAGGCAATGGTGATCCACTAGACACATCAATGTTAACAGATCCTTTAAGCATCAGTCCATCTACAGATGTCCATAAGCAGAATAGGAAAAGACGTAAAGAAAAGCATCGCAATAGGTATTCACCCGATTTTATGAGATCACCATCAAAGGAACACAAGCGCAAACGAAAGAAGAAGTCACAGGATGACATGGAGAATCCTAACGATAGTTCAGGATCTGCTAATAAACCCAGAATCACCATCAAGGTAAGATATTTTCGCAAAAAAATTGACAATGTGATCTATTATCTCGTTACAGCGACTAATTTAAAGAAATTGTTAGAGCCTTTTATTTACCAAATACCATTGTTTGCTTATTTTTAATTTCCCAAAGGAGAAGTTTGTTTTCATCAAAAAATCTGATTTGCTAATGTTATGTTTTCTCGACGTTTCATGCCATTCTGAATCGAATGAAACCAAATTTGGAAAAAGTATGTGTGTGTGTGTGAACAGATTTGTTGCCGTAAATCGACGTTTTCTCAAAAATGGCCGCGACCGATTTCAAAATTTTAAAAACCATTCGATGCATCTCGATGAGGATTAGCGTTTTTCAATTTGTTTCTTTGTAAATAGCAGAAAAGTGAAAAAATTTCGTCTACGGTTTAGTCCGCAATTCTGAATCGATTTTGAAAATAGAAAGATATCGGTTGGAAATCGACCTGATTAGTTTTCAGTTAAGATCGGCCCGGCCGTTTTCATAAGGCGTCAAAAATTTTTTTCGACGATTTCTATGAATTTTTCGTTGACTGTATAGTCTTATAGATCATACTAAAATATTACGGACATACAGCAAAGTCGTTTAATTTAAAAAAATTCGTCAAAGTTTGCAAAAATTACCATCGTTTTTTTGGTGTTTGTCAAAATTAGAACTTATATCAACGTTTTCTTAAAAACGCCTGAACCGATTTCAAAAATTTAAAATTCATTTAATGTATCTCATTGAGGTCTATAGTTTGTCAGCTTTGTGCCACGATCTGCCAAGCCGTTTCTTTGTAATTTGGAAAGAGTGTTAAACTTTTTGTCCACATGTAAGCTCATACTACCGAATCGGTTTTAAAAAATCAAAAACTTTTTGAAAAATATTGGTTGTAAATGATACTGATTAGTTTTAGGTAAAATCCACCGAGCCGTTTTTGAATTTAACTGTTGAAAAAAATTGCCGATTATGAAGTTTTTTCTGGCAATAGATCTTTCTTACCACGGTCTTATAAAACATACTAAAATTTTAAGGCCCTACGACAAATAGTTTAATATTAAAAATTCATCAAAGTTTGAGAAAATATTGTAGTCAAAATTTGTGTCAAAAGTTGCTTTTGTGATGTGAATGAGTCAAACATTATCAAATAATTAAATTTTAAAATAATAAGCTGCAGTTTTAGGGCAAATTCGTACAAGTTTGCAATAATTAGTATCGTTTTTTTCACATTTAAGCTCATACTACCGAATCGATTTTAAAAAATCAAAATCGTTTCAAAAGATACATTATAAAATATATTTACAGATAATTTAAATGTGTTTGAGAAAAATCTATTCGAAATTGCAATGTTTATATTATACAAGCACGTGTCTGTACATTATAAAATATATTTACAGAGATAATTTAAATGTGTTTGAGAAAAATCTATTCGAAATTGCAATGTTTATATTTAAATTTAATTTAAATTCATTAAATTTAATTAACTTTATTTTTGAAATAAACAGTTGAAAATTTTATCTAAATATCTAAATTTCAATTTTGATTGATCAAGTCAATTCTTACACATTTTGGGAAGTCCATGCAACTTGCCTTAAGGCTAAATGCCACTTCCAAACTAGTTTAAATAATAATGGTCGACTTCTCTACTTATGGATATTTGTGCTCTCCTCTACTCTATGTACATTTAATAAATTAACTTTTTTGATCTATTCACGATTATCCACTAATGATTCTATAGCATATAATTTTAATACCATATAATGCAAACATCTGATGTTTTATTTCAACAGTTCATTTTGTTATTTAGTGTTCAATAAAATAAAATATTTAAAATATCTATACCATATTGAAATTATTGAGCAATACATAGGATACACAAATAAGTATTATTATTTTTTTTTACCAATTGCTTGTTTTTAGATCAAATCAATTCCTCTGCCTGCTGGTGAAGTGGCTTCAACATCAAATCCTCAAATGTTCTATGTGCCAAGTGACAGCAATGATGCTCCTCCTCAACAGCTATCGGTCAGTCAAATAAGCATCACAGGGCCCGAAGCTGGTGAAAATAACATGGAAACAATTGTAAGAAATAAATAATCTCTTAGAAAATTCTTGGATTTATTTTTGAAATTCAGATAAAAATAGTGCATGATAGGACAATCAGATTTATCTAACCAACCTATTGGCAAATTTGTTGACTCTTTGCAACTAATGCGTATTGTTTTGAACTTATTTCAGTTATGATTAGAGTTAAATTAATTTTATTTTATTGAAATTTGCATATCTCCTTATACATTTTTTTTTTTTTTTTAAGGTAAATGATCAATCACAGCCGCCAGGTACCTTCTTGACTCCTCCTCCTGTAGTGGCTAGAAAAATACCCAACAGAAGATCTTCTACTATGGGTTCGGCAACATCAGGACAAAGGGCAATTAGAACAACACCTCAGCAGGATACTGGTACTCCAACAGGAGATGATATGATGTGTGATGTTTGTTCTAAACCTGGAACCAGCCAGAATACTGTCAGGTGACACTTGAAATTAGACCACAATTTAGGATTGTATTGTATTCATATTTTTGATATTTAGTATCTGATATCCCCTTTCTTTTGTGAGGATTTAGGCTGAACAGAAACGAGTGGCATTTCACAAGCCTTTTTGAAAATTTGAAGCTTAAAGGAACAAGTTTAATTTTCGTTTTTTTACATTTTCTAACACCTGGGAAACTATGATGTGCAGGGCTGAAAGCTGCAAGACGATGGTTTTCGTACTTAGCACACCAAGAATCCTAGAACAAATTTTTTTAGCCTTACAGGAATACCGTTTTTTTTTTTAAGATTTACTAGTAATAAGTTTGCTACATATATAAAGTCCGTTCAGTGCCTCCATTTAATCTTCGACGTCGTGCAAGAGCCATTCCTTTTTGATAGAAGATCCAGAGGTTCTTTCTTCTAGAATCTAGATGAAGATAATTCAACCATTAGATTTTTTATATTTTTTTATTATTTAGTGTTAGTTACCATATTAATTTATTGTATTTATTTCAGATGTGATGAATGCCTGAAATGTTATCATTTCACTTGTCTTGATCCACCTGTTAAAAAGTCTCCAAAACGACGTGGCTACTCATGGCATTGCGCTGATTGTGATCCTACGGTAAATAATATAAATAGTAATATAAAAGTAGGTATTTATTAACTTGTTTATATTTTTGCCAAAAAATTCTATTTGTTATTAACTTCTCGTAGGGTAAGTTATAGTAATCGCAAAAAAAATCGAAACAGAAAATTTTTGCATATCTTTACATTTCAGAGGTTTTTGAACATTTTGTCATACCTTAGAAAAAATCGATGTTTATATATGTGTGTGTGTGCGGGATCGTTTCGGAGATCCAATAAAAAAATACAATTTGACGGGCGAAAAAGGATCATTAGACATATGCACATCAAATTATCAAATATTTTATAGATATTTTAATTATTGGTATGGGAAATTCCAGCAATTAGCTTTAAGGCACGATGCCATGCAACACTAGTTCAGTTAATTTTTTTTAAATTATTGAACTTTTTTCAACAGTTGATACACATGCAATATCCAAATGTACAGAATAAATAGTTTTATGTATTTACTTATTGTTTTAATCTTGTTTAATTACAATTATCTCAAGAGAAAAAACAAACTTAATTATTATTTTAACTTTTCAGGAAACTGATTCCACATGAGGTACTTTGATGAAATGAATTCGTATGTATATGAATGTATACAAACAAATAATTTTGTATATGCCCATATATAGTAATTAGGTCTGAAAGATATAGTAAGTATTTAATTTTTAAACATAATATATATATATATATATATATATATATATATATAACAGATGTAACTATGATATTGCTTTTTTTATTTTATGTAATATTTTAATGTGTAAATGATTTAACTGAATGTATCAAATGAAGATTTTTTAATCATTAGACGAAAAGCAAATGTAAATGTATGAATGTTGTCCAAATTTTAATTATTTTTATATATTCTTTATATAAAATATCTGAATCTTTATTTTTATTAGCTTATAGTTACGATATTTTAATATATATGAAGTTAAAACTAATTATACTTTATATAATTGAGTCTCATTCAATTTTAGTTGTAGTCGATAATGAATCACATATAAATAAAAATTGATTTAGTTTCGATTTATCAATCAATAAAAGTTTTGTATTACAAATTCATATTAAATATGAGTAATACATTATACATTTACGTACGTCATTTCAATTCATTTAATGATTAAAAAATTTATTAATAATTGAATGAATTAGTAAGGATTAAAAATGAATTATTGAATTAACGTGTAAATATATAATTGTGAAATTTGGATAACTGTTAAGTGTTTAGTTTGTAATATGAAATGATAAATACAAAAAAATTAAATATGTGTATGCTATTTCATAGTTTTTTCACAGAAACAAGTTTAATTTTAGGTTAAGTATTTTATCAAGGTAAGTGCTAATTTATCTTATTGAAGTTTTTACATTCATGCTACATAGTGTAACATTTTTTTTGCAGATTTTCGATGCTAAATACGTGTGATGAACAATATTAGAGGAAGGAAAAAAAACTACGTCAAAATATGATATTTCAGCAATTTATAAGAACTATAAATGATACAGAACTATTTGGAGAACTATTGAAAGATTTATTAGAATAGTAATGAATTACTATTGTTGATTGATAATAAATATTAAAGACAGATTATTATGCGTTATGTGTTAGAAGACAAATCATTTAATTGTTCAAATATTGCAAATTTTATTCATTTGCCTATTTGATACAAAAGTATCATTTACTAATTAATCTCTGAAATGAAGTCTCAGTTTTAGGTACACACAATTGTGTCAAATTGTGCAAATTTAATTCATTTACATATTTGATACAAAAATGTCATTTACTAATTTATTCCTAAAATGAAGTATATCAGTTTTAGGTACACAAAATTGTGAAGTTTCAATTAAAAATTAGAAAAATGGAAGAAGTAATACTTTTTGAATGTGGTAATGAAAATAGCAGAAAATAGAAAGAGAATTAAATTCTACTCATATTACATTTTATTCTTTAAGACTGGTTAACTTTATTAACATCGTTTTGTCATATTTTGAGAAGTGAAGTTTTCAAATATTTATTATTAACTTTCCGTAGGGTAAGTATAAGTAATCGCAATAAAATCGAAAATGTAAATTTTTGCATATCTTTACGTTTTATAACATAAAAATGTAAATTTCAGTAACAAATTCTGTAATTATTTTCGGAACTACAGAAGAAATAGTGAGCAAGCGTTCAAGCATGTATACAAGCGGTTTTTAATTTTTTCGATTCTTCCAATAAGAAAGATAAGGAAAAAACTAAACATCCTATCGGAACGAGACAAAATTCATTGTTTTCAGTATTGAATTCTATTCTAGTTGAACCTAAAAAAACTTAAGAAAAGTTATAATTAACCCATTTTTTGAACAACCTGAAGTGATTTTTTCAAGCTGCAAAAAGTTGGTGAATTTCTCATTTCTTCTGGACTTTTTAGGTTCAACTAGAATCTATACTATTGAAAATATATGTTTATTTTGATTTTTTTTGTTTTGGATGGAAATTGCGACCTGCATCTTTCCCGCCAAATGACACCTGCATCCTTGTGGCGCATCGGCAAAATGCTCGTACCCGTCATATATTTTAATTAAAAATAATGAGAACAATGTTGAAATATACAATAAAATCTCAAAGTTTCGTTCTAATTAAATATTTATTTCCTTTTCTAAAAATTCCTCTAAAAACCGATTTTTTTATGCCTCCCCACTTAACGATTCCTAATATAATCTTTAAATAGTTTGGCCCTGTCGAGGAACTGTGCATAGTGAGAAACATATCATTGGCAACAATCTATATTTTATGTTTGCGTCAACAACCAAAAACCAACAACAATGACACATATTTATGCCAAATGGATTCTGATTCCATCTTATAATGAATATTGAACGAAAGTTCTATGAAGTCGTTCCCGATCTTTCGGTTATTCATAATTTTACTAATTATTAATAACAAGGGCGCCGATATTTAGACGTAATAATCGTTCCGACATTTCTAGCTCAGAATTTCTAATGATAATTGGAGAACGTTTAACGTATAAATATTTTAGCGTCGTCCATTTTCCACGTACACAATACTTATAGCTACGTATCACAATATAGCAGTGATAGGCCAGTTATTTTTTTCAAAGGTTTGAAAATTCCATGAAAACTCTTACATCGAACTATTTAGTTTTTGCATCATTTAATTAAATATGAAGTGTTATAATTAACTTCTCGTGAGGTAAGGTAAAGTAAAGTAATCGCAAAAAATCGCAACTTTTTATTTGCATATCTTTACGTTTCATAGGTTTCTGAACATTTTGGCATATCTTGGAAAAAATTGATTCATGTGTATGGGTATGTGTGTAGTATGTATATGTATGTATACAATTTTTGTCCACGAAATCGAGAGCACGGATTAACCGATTTGCCTGATTCTGCTTCCAAAAATAATCGCGATTCATATGTTGGAAAGATGTGCTGAGGGGGCGTCTATTAATCACGTGATCGTTTTTCTTTTTAAGGATTCTTGGACCTCCCCTCCCTCTTGGTTATATGTGACGGTATTCAAAATTACTTCCCCGTCCCTCACCAAACATCACGGTAAAAATTGTAACATATTTGAGTTTTTTTTTAATGTTTGATTTTTTTTAATTTCAGGTAAAAAATACATACACGACGCGATATTTACTATACCCTTCTCTCCCCTTCGTGATATTTTGTGATTCTTTGTGAAACTCTCCCTCTCCCTAAAAACCTCACGTAATTAATTATCGCCCCCTGATTAGTGAACACATGGGTATGCTTTGGCAAAGGCAGGTTCAGCCGTTTCGAAGATATTTAGCAAAATTGGCAATTCGGTTTTTGAGAAAACGGAGCATCTAATTAGAATGATTCAAAAATATTTTATTTGTATTGACGGAATGCAAAATTGATTCTTTTTTGGGGAATGCAGGTCCAGTGGTTTTGGTGACCCAGAAAAAAATTAGAATAAATTACATTTGATGGTCGAAAATTATATATGCTCATCAAATGGTCAGTTATTTTTTAGAGATTTTATTAACGACTACAAATTTTGTATCCAATTTTGATTTAAAAAGTAGTCATTTCTTGAGAAAGGCAGCTGTTTCGGAGCTATTATTATTCAAAAAACATTTTGTGTTGTCAGTGTGAAGAAATGATTTGAAAAAAAAATGAAAATTTCCAAGCAAATTAAAAAAAAATTTAAAAACATTTCAAAGTTTCAAAAAAAAAAAACGAATCGAAAGATTAAATATTTGAGAACAAATCAACTATTTTTAAGTATTATATAAACTGAATTGCAAAGTTAGAAGTATTTATTTGAAGTATTAAGTGAACTTAAATATTAAAATTGAAAACCAAAATATTTTTGATATTCGAAAAAAAAGAATATTATCTTTAAAATAAAATAAATTCTAATAAAAGAAAATAAAAAATTACGAAGAAATAGGAAATTAAAAAGGAATTAGAACAAAAAAAATCTCAAAAACAATCGTTGCGTCAATACAAGCAAAAAATTTTCTGAATCATCCAAATCGAATGCATTTAGCTTTATACTTGTCTTTGCCAAAAACTAATAATCTCCCCTTCTTTCCATTATTACGAATTAAATATTTTTTAATCATTCGAATCGGATGCTTTGTTCTCTCAAAAGCTCGATTTCTATTTTCTTGCCTTTGTCAAAAACTAATAAGCAAGTCTCACCATCAATAGGAATCTAATATTTTTTGAATTAAGCAAACGTGGAAAAAAGTTGTATCTCTACACACACCACATCATTTTTTTCTAAGGTTTGCCAAAATGTTCAGAAACCTTTGAAACGTAAAGATATGCAAAAATTCTCAATTTCAATTTTTAGACGATAACAATAACGTACCCTACCGATATTGAATTATTTTGTCACTTGTTATTAAAAGTTTGATTCGTTTGCGGAGTAATTTCTTTTTTACCGCGAGGTTTGTTTTCCATTGCTATATATTTTCCGAAGCGCACAACAGTTGGGGGGTGAGTTGGGAAAATTGGGGCGGAAAACGGAAAAATTTATCGATAAATAAAATGTATTCGTTTACTAGTGTGTACTGTGGTCAGTTACGCATCGGCTATCGAAGGATGAACGAAGACACGACATCGATAGTTTTAAATTAATTAAATAATATTAACTAAAAAAATTAACGTGAAAAAATATTAATATAGAACTTTAAATATATTTAGTGAAAAAAAAATTGAAAAAAAATGAAATAAATGTAATTGATCATGGAATTCAAGTCATATTACTTTAAATTTTCTTCAATTTAATTTATATTTTTATGTGGAAAAGCAAAAAAAATAAATTAAATTAAATCAGTGCTCTAATAAAAAATACAATTTCAAATATTGATAATTAAAATTTATTATATTAAACCTTTGCTCTCGTATGCTGCCGCTCCGGCGACAATTCATATTACTTTTGCAATCTACGAGTGGGAAGTATTAAGTGGGATTAAGTAATACTGAATTCAAATAATTTTTAAAAATATATTCTAATCAGATTGCATTTCCTCAGCTCAATTCATAATTTTTAAACTTAATATACAATAAGTGTTGTGATATACAAATACTAATAAAATTATATTACCTAATAAATAATTTAAAACGTGAACATTTTCATGTCTATATATTGTGTAAACTATTTTTTCATTGATACAAGAAAGTTATAATAAAAATTTTATTTTATTGAATTTTTGTCAAAGCTGAGCAAATTAAAACCAAACTTCTAAATAAATAATAAAAATACTAACCAAAGTTATAAGATTGTGTCTTCAAGTTCTGAAAGCTACATTTAATCGAATAAGTCATGTAATTATTAATTTATTCATCTAAATTATTTTTCTTCTAATTACTAAATTAAGTGTGATTAAAGTGATGTGAAATTTTGTGAATCGTTTCCTGCAACATGGGCTAGAAAATTTAACAGTAACTTTAGCATGCCACCAAAAATTCGCAAAAGGGTCCAGAAACCTTTAAAGCAGGATTTTAAATCGAAAATGGCTCCTCAAGGTGGAGCTTATGTCCATTCCAGTCCACCCAGAGGTAAGAAAAATCACACTTTTGATCCATTACATATGATATTAATTTTCTTGTATAATTAGTTTCTTGTATAATAAGAAATATTTTTTTATGAAAATAATTTTTTAAGAAAAACTGGTCAGGTAGAAGTAAAAACTAGCAAGCATTAAAATCTATCGAAAAAGTAAGTCCCAAATATTATATAGCTCAGAAAACATATTTTTTTTTCGGACAAATCTTTTATAACACCTCGAAAGGGGCGTTTGCTTTGGCAAAAAATCTAGTTTGATAATTTTATTTTCTCGACGTTATTCAAATTCATAGTCAAAATTTGACCACCACCGGTTTCTAGAATTGAAATTTCAAAGTATTCGCGTTGATTAATTTCCGCGACTATCGAATCATTTTTTTGTAGAATTATGAGAAGTGCAAAGTTTTTCGTCCACATTTTCGCCAAAATGTTAATAAAAATACATCACAGTTTAGATTGATTTACACGGTCAAAAATCTAAAATTCTGAATTCTTATTGATTAAGTCAATCAATACACGAATCGCAAAGTTTTTAGAGCAAAATACTATTTACACCCAGTTTTGTAATATTTTTATTTCAAAATATTTGTCTTTTTACCGGGTTAATTAAACATTCAACAATGATGTATTAACTGAAGAATTAGGCTATGACTAGTGTTTTTTCAATTAGCCTGTGGAGTTTCAATTCTTGCGGTAAATAAACAGCATGTTGAAACTTCCTGAGGAAGGAAATGTTCATTTCCCGTAATTCCTACTTCAATCGCACGCGATTCTATACCCTTAATAAATTGATGATGAATACTTACATACATACTTTCTATTAATGATCCAAGAATGTTTCATTATTGTTTATATGTAAATAAAATACAATTCATGAAAACACCACGTCTCGGGATTTTTTTAAGTGACACTATTGTAAAAATATTTATTGTTACAATACGTGGCTCCTTACTGCGAATTAGTAGTTAGAGCTGAAAGACTTCAATACACGCCTCGGGCAATCTGATTTCAAAGAGCAGTGACATCGGTTTTCACTTGAAAATATTGTAGAAAAATATTAGCAATTTTTTTCAGTTAAAAATAGCCCTAACCTGTTCATTGATATAGCTGCACCAATAGAAAATTCATAAGTATTATAGAAATTCCAATAATAATGTATCAAATAGAAATAGAACAACCGTTTGGGTTGCCATCTATGAAATGAGCCATGTCAGTTTAGCACTAGCTACAACTATTATGAGGAAGTCGTTTGCTTTAGTTCTTCATTCGATAACCGACGTCATTTTGAAAAAATAAAATTACACCACTGAGAAGGGCGGAGTCCAAATTGTTTGCACTTTTGATCTTAAGGATAACATAAACCTAATTTCAAAATTTCATGCAAATCAGAGCACAGTAAAAAAATTCAGATCCAAAACGCTCCATTCACCGATGGCGGAGCGCAAAATGTTTTCACTTTTAAATTTTAGGCTAAGATTAGCCTATTTACAAAATTTAATGCACGTTGGAGCACAGTAAAAAAAACAGTTATTTAAATACAATAAATTTCGGTATATTATTTATCCATTATACATGCAATTTCTGACATTATATATGAAGCACAATAGTACTAATTTCTATTGTGGTGTACATAAATAATGGTAAAATTTACTATTTATAATTAAATAGTTTTTTTTATAGAATTATAATATTTTAGAATTTTTGCTAAGGCCATGAACTCTCTTTCTACGCAAAATTAAATTGAACATTTCAAATAAATTTTAATAATTGGTTAATTGATTCAAAACTAATCAGCTGAATAGAACAACTGATCAGCATAAATTCTAACTGGTATCTTTAAAAAAGTTTTTGATTTTTAAAATAAGTTTAGGTGTTTTGGAAAAACCGTTGCAATGTATATAAATAGTATAGTTTAGGGGAGATTGGGTACGGTTGTGCCACTTTTTTTTTGGCAATAATTTAGTTAATTTATCAGTTTCCAAGCAAAAAAAATAAATTAAATAGTAATTTGAATATTTGTTTACTGTCTTTAAATACGACTCTATTTCAAAATCAGTATCGTTTAGCTGTTATGACGACTGTCACTACCGTACCTTGGCACAACCGTACCCAAGTCTCCCCTACTAATACAATTTTCATGCTTATAAAATAAATGTAGTTAGTTACATACATTAGCACTCGTCGTTTCAAACACGCGAAGTATTAATTTTGACTGCATAAGTCAATATTTAATATCAGATATCTACTAACAGCAAAACGTAATTTTTGTATTCTGTTTTTATAAAAATATATTAAAAATATTAACTCTTAGATGTTTGATCATTATTGTTTTAATCAACAATAGTTTCGATACCATTTTGAAATTAAAAAAAAGTCACAATTTAACATCCGGATTTTTTTGAAATTGTTAATAAAGCAACGGGTTGATCATTTCTTTAAAAAAATTTAATGAGGGTTATTTCCAGCTGATATATTTAGAATGAATTTGAACTTTATATTTCTTAGGATTTTTTGAGGCAACCTGAATGAACAGCAAATAGCTTTTAACAATAACTTATACCTATTGAAAAGAGTTAATTATAAGATAACAGTCCACTTGGTAAATTTTTAACAAAGTCTAAAAAGTACGATTTTTAGTTGATATTGTTAAATAAATAAAATATTATTTTATAACTATCAAATTTAAATTATCACTATTATATAGGTCTAATTAAATTCCCTTAGGGTAAGTTATAGTAATCGCAAAAAATCGCAAAAAATCGCAAATAATATTTTTTACCTAGATTTACATTTCAAAGGTTTCTGAACATTTTGGCATACCTTATAAAAAATGGATGTATGTGTGTGTGTGTGTGTGTGTGTCTGTATGTTTGGATACAAATTTTCGTCGACGATTTCGAGAACACGGTTCAACCGATTTCAATGATTCAAAAAACATTCGATTCCTATTGATAAGGAGATGTGCTGATTAGTTTTTGGCGAAGGCAGGTCTAGCCGTTTTGAAGGTGCGGGGCAACATATGCCAAAATTAGTATTTCAGTTTTTGAGGTAAAAGAACGCCCGATTTGAAAGATTCAAAAAACATTTTATTTGTATTGAACAAATGAAGAGTTGTTTAGGCAGATTTGGGCATTTTTGAGTAGGTATTAGACATTTCTGGGTAGGCAAGTCTAGCGGTTTTGGAGATACAGAGAAATGTAAAAAAAATAATATTTGGTAGTCTAAAATGAACATTGTATTTAAATAACTAGTGCAGTAAATGGAGAGAAAAGAGGGTGTAATTCCTGAATTATTTTTACTGTGCTCTGATTTGCATGAAATTTTGGAATTAGGTTCAACTTACCCTCAAGATCATGAGTGAAAACAAACAGTGGTGTAATTTTATTTTTGCATTTGTTTTAAATTCTTCTAATAAATGAATAAATATCCCATTCACCATAAAAGCATATCAGTATTTTTGCACTTTCAGTAAATATACTGCGAAAACAAAACAACATATATCACAGCCCATACGACATATCAAACAATCAACTATTGAAATATTCTCAGAAAATTTGCCAGTTATTACCTAAATATGGAAAAACCTAACTTAGAAAGGCACAAACGTCACAAAACAAACTTATCATTTGTGCATGTTTTTGATGTGTCATAATAATACATGCAAGAAATTAGATTCTATGTGTAAAACGCCTGATCGCACAGCAAATACATAGTATTTTGACAGTGTTTAGAACCATTTTATATGAAATTGGTCTATTTTACATCAAAATTAGCAGGTGAAATGAAATAAATATATTACTCACACAAAATTTGATCTATTGAGGTTTCACACATTCTAGCGACCCACAGATTTATAATCTGTTCTCTATACAGTGCCTGTCACTGTTAAATATATTATATCACACTATCGGAAACCCTTTACGTCTATTATATACGCATTTCAAAACGTCTCACGAAAATAAATTCTTGAAATATACCTATCAATCAACTCTATCGTATTCTGATGGATATTGCCAATTTGCACGTAACGGGTGTTTCTATAAAAAAAAACTGAATAAAAGGAATGTGTTTAAGTGGAATAAGTCTTCACATGGTCGTATTCTTGAAAATGTTTATGAAATGATTCTATTTTCCTTTTAAATCAATCAAGTAATCTCTCAAACATTTTTTGAATTTTTAAAACTTTAAAACACGGAAATAATTTACTGCCCATCAACCCGAGTCCTTATCGAGTTTCATCAAATAGCATTAAGTTTTTTGAAATCGGTGCAGTCGATTTTGTGGATGATATGATAAAATGTTGGCTCGAATACATAGTTTTTCGAATTTTGGTGTCAAAAATTTTTTCAGAATGACTTGAAACGTCGACAAACCATGAAACTACATTTAGCAAATGGTAATTCTAGTTCCTCGGAAAATTAATAGTAATTGTGGATATAATCGTTGTGAATTAGGTCAGAAACATTGTTTTCAACTGATATCTTCACTGCGTCAACATCATTGTTTCCAATAACATCTATATCAGTTTGGAACTGAACTACGAATAAAATTATAACATAAAAAACACAGTAGTATTATAACAATGAGATAAATTTTCTGATTAGCAAATGAAGTTTTTGAAAGATAAATGAAACGAATGTTTTTGAAATGATAAATTAATTAAATATTTTAGAACAATTTAGATTCACAACAGGTTGACAGGTAGTCAGGTAGTCACGTAGGCAAATATACAAATTGGCAGGTAGCTTTAAAAACAGGTAGACAATTAGACTGGTTGAAAGGTACATTGGTATAAAGGTAACTTGGCAGACAGGAAAACTGGTGGACATCTAAATAAGGTGGGCAGGTAAATTTGTGGACAGATTTACTGGTAGCTAGCTAAATATGTAGATTGGAAGGTAGATACACAGGTAGATATATATGTATGTGAACAAGAAATCTGATGAAGAGAAGGACAAGTATCCAGATATATTTGTAGATATAATAACAGAAA